AGCAATTGCAATGAACTCTAAAATTGTAGCAGGAATTCCTGTTTAGTCGAAAGAAGTCCCAGCAAAATTATTTCCTGTTTTTTTCCAAGAAGGAGTGTTGCTTTCTGGGAACAACATCTCTGTCCTGTCAGAGCTGCAGATGCATATCATGGACACTTAAGTGTGATTTAATCTCACTGATGTATTCACATCAACCTTGATCAACAGCAATTTTGGTCACTGCTGGCAGAACCACAAATTGCGGGGAATCAAATTGAGAAAAAAGCAAAATTTAAAGTTTACAAAACCGAAAGAACTGCAGATGCTGTAAATCAGAAACAAAAATAGAAATTGCTGGAAACGTTCAGCAGATCTGCATCATCTATGGGGAGAAATCAAAGTTAATGCTTCAGGTCAAGTGATCCTTCCTCAGAAATTGAAAGTTTGGTTGTTCTTTCTTAAGAATCAATGGTCAGAATCTTTCCAGCCCTTGTTGAGTCAGTTGGGAAAATAGAGCGAGTTCAGCAGAAATTAGATTCTTCATGTTGCGAGAAAGAAGTTTGATTGTCCAATCAAATTTCGAATGGCAAGAGGCCTATTTGCATGTCATTAATGTCTAATCTCACCTCACTGATGTGTAGTTTCCTATTTTCCCATCTGCCAGATAAAAACCAGACAATGACAATTCCTGGCATGAAAGTCAAAATGGGTACCTGGCGGCTCCAGCTCATCACTTGCTCCACCTTGGAGAAAAGACACCAACATTTCAGGACACAGTCCAGGGGCACTAAACCAACCACATGCCTCTGCCCACTTGCAATACAGCTCGGCACTGCAATTCTGCACTTTGGAGCACGTGGCACCTTTCATTGGAATGCTGCTGCCAGAACAGTATATGCAGGGACAGGGGCCTAACTCATAGATTTGACCAGGGTGCATCTCAGGGCTCTTTGCTTATTCTCTTAGTGTTCACCCACTTTTCTGCCTACGCAGATACTCACATTATATCTGCATTGCATTGCTGTGTTCTTTTGTGTTTTTGTCCCTTCAGCCTGAACTGAAATGCTCCCAGGACTTTTGTCTTGCCTTTCAAAGGGACCGTGGACGGGGAGGGTTGTGATGCACTGGATATTTAGTCCCAGGGGGAGGGGTCAGTTCAATGGAAGTCAAGTGGGGTGTTATCAGGGGCCGTTGCTGTGGTTGGGAACTCAGTTGTAGGGGTTGGAGGAAGCATGCTAGGATGCAGCTGGGACAATAATTGTGAAGGACGGAATTTCAACATAAAGTGGTATAGACGATAGAGCGTGGCGGGGAAAGGGGTAATGCAGGAATGGGAATCATTGACAGTCAGCACCACTCTGGGTTCACAGGGTGCTCAACCAAGGAACGATTGTGAAGAGTGTGGGATCACCTAGTCTGAGAGTCTAAATCTGTGATACTCAATGAAGTGAGACTGCCGATGCCTTTATCCTCATTAAATGGCAAGTGCACAATGGGAGATGAAAATAGCTACCACCACATCTGGAGTGGACAGAGTAGGTATTTCGGAGACAATAAGGACTGCAGATGCTGGAAACCGGAGTCTATAGATGTGAGACTGGAAAAGCACAGCAGGTCAGACAGCATCCAAGGAGCAGTTAAGTCAAAATTTTGGGGCAAAACTCTTCGTCAGGTATTTCACTTTGTGAGGAAGGGGGTTCCACTTTCATGCAGTAAGTGGCCCTTCAAAGAGCAGTAGCATTAAGCAAACACCTACACAGTGCAGGTTAAAGGTACTGTTGATCAGTATGTGCTGTATTTGAGCCTTACACATTGACTTGCTGTATGAAGTACAAATCCTGGACCCAAATATTCTTGACCACATCATGCAACTTATAAATCCATTCCACTAATGGCTGTGTGACACGAGTAATGATTTGCACTCTGGAAAGGTTCATCCTAGTTGACAAAATAGATATCACCTTCCAAAGCCCCACAGCCTGCACATGGAGCAGGAGCTGGTTTACACCTTGGCCATAAAACATTCACATCATTATCTTATATGCAATGCCAGCTTTCTTGGATTCTAGGAAGAGGGATGGGGGAGAGACATCCTCATTATTGTCACAACGCATAAAATATCCTACTGTATGCGTCTCAAACGGCAACAGAAATCTCAATCAAGACAACTATGTGCAACTTCAATGCAAGGCACCCCACTGGCCTCTTTATTGGGGCCTCTATGTTAAAGATGCTGCTCAAATGTCATTTGTGTGTATACAACAGCTGTTCAATGGTCACATGACTGAGGAGCTGCTTTGTTTCGGCTATTGTCTGCATCGGCTCATCAGAACCATCCCCATGATTCAGGCACAGAAGCTGCTGTTATCTCTATGACCATTCCATTACGGACTGCTCCATGAATGAATGAGGAACACGTGTGTCTGCAAGATCAGGACCAGCATTCTGAGCACTAATGGCTAGAGTAATGGAGTGCAGGTCTGTGCGGATATCCAACAGGTTCTGAGAGTGCAGGGCCTGACTCTCCATTGAGCCATGCACACTGACCAATGAGGTAGACAGATAATCACATACCAGAGTCAGCAGGGTACAAACAGCTTTGGCAAAGCCCTCCAACCTTTGATCCATTTGCCTAGTGCTTCCAACAAAACTGCCTGCTGCTCCCATGTCTGCTTGGGTATTTGTACAAAATTGTTAATGGCTGACACCACAGGGTCCTCTCCTGCCTGGAGCTGACCAGGTTCCTGGATTCTGGCAGTCCTCAGAGTGCCACCGATCTGGGATGTTGCTTCCTTTGCTTGCCACAGTGATGGGGAAGCGATATGCTCACTTACCTGTGTTCCAAACTCTGATCTAGCTAACAAACCCACTGAGGTGTGAGTATCTGGCCTGATGGGGTGATGGTGTGGTGCAGGAGGCAGGCTTGTTGATGCATCTCCTGAGGGATCAATGGCTTCTCCCTCAGAGGTGAAGGAGGGGATTTCTTGTGGGTCTGCCTTCTTGATGGAGTAGACAATGCAGATTCGACTGGTGTCTGCAGGAGACGAAGAGAAAAGGAGTTGAGAAAGAGATGCAAAGGCATGTTAAGAGGGCACTCACTGTGGCTGCAATGGGAGAGCAGCACAGCCAATGGCAATGACTTCAACGTTGTAGCCCCCTCCAGTTACAGTAAGGGGCCTCGCCTTGTGGAGGGTGAAGAGGTGAAATGCCGAGCACCCCACCACCTGTCTTGTCTCATTCTGTCCTATTGTGGGTCCTTTGCACCTGGAATAAGACAAAGGGAAGGATTGATTGAGATGAAATTGGCTGGTACAGCTGTTAATGCTGCTGCAGGTAGGGGAAAATGTCCTGACTGACTCAGTGTGCAGCATAGCGGGCCTGCAGGGTCAGTAGCCTGAGGGTTTGGGGTGGGTAAGAGCGAGTCAACTATTGCAGAGTGGAAAGATCACCAATTTTCTCAAGTGTTCACCAGGGGGCACATTCCGGTTTTTCAGGGTCCACAAGGACAATCCTAAAAAAACACTGACTTGTTGGATTTGGAAACTCTCAGCCAAAATGTGCTACTGCAGACCAGTAATAGGACTTTCTCTTTCCTTTAGAGACCTCAAAGAGAATGTCAGCTTATACTGTTTCATTCGCTGCTCTCTGCTGTGCTGATTTGTTAGCCGCCATGTCTTTTACTAGCCCTGAGTCTCACAAATGGCACATGTGCAGAACTTTACACATGCACAATGGGTACTCTTGAGTGGTGTCAGGAGACATAAATTCTGACAGTGACAAAATTTTGGGTCATATCTGAAACCAATCTTTTATTCACGCCCACTGGCTCTAACATCTCCATCAGAAGGCATGGAGAAAACAAGCTCAATAATTACAAAAAATACTTGCTCTACCAGTACCAAATAAACTAAAAACATAAACTAGAGCAAAGGCTCTATAAGAGTTCAGTCCATGCAGAACAGCTTGAAAAAACAAGGTTAATGTGTCCACAATGCAGCTTATCTCTTAAGCAGTAAAAAGGGACCACTGTCAAGCTGAAATAAAATCCTCAGAAGATTCAGTGGATTACATTAAAACATGAGCGTACTCCACCATTTACTATATTTGGCAGTGCAAAAGGCATTCTGTTTTAATTGAGCTTCCATTAACCTAAAATTGCTCTTGAGTATGGCAGTAAGTAGATCCTAAATATGTAAGAAAATTGAATAATATTCAATTGAACAATATTTTTCCACTTTTCTATGCAATTTTGTGTCTGCTATTTATCTCAAAACATTTTAAGCAGAGAAACTGAAATTTGGTCTGTATATACCCATTAAAATACACTCTGATATGCTGGATGCAGCTAACTGTGAAGATAATCATTTTTGCTTCAACTAATACATAAGACAGTTGCTCTGTGATAATTGTCATCATCAGTGAAGACACTATCTTATTCTTGACTGTGGTTAGGAGAAGCCAGCGTGCAAATGAAAAATCAGTCAAAGTTAATTTTCTAAAACAATATTGGAAATCTCTTCTGAAACTGATGGACGTTTTAATTCAGAACTTGCTTTTCATCAATGCCTAATTGGTTGCTGATTGTGAAAAGGCTGGCTGAGTTTTGTTTCCTATCAAAATATTCATCTGTGATCCTATTAAAACATTGTCCACATGGGGGCATTTAATGGTATCCTGAGGCAAGAATTTATCCAACACACTGTGAGAAACCTTTTTTCTGTTTCATCAATAGGATTTGGGATTATCTGGCTGGGACAGCATTTATTTCCTATCCCTCGTCGCTCTTGAGAAGATGGTGGTGAGCTTACTTCTTTAACTGCGACAGTCCATTTGGTGTAGGTACACCCATAATACTGCTAGGGAGGGAGATCCAGGATTTTCACTCATCACTGCTAATCATGTTGGGGGAGTTACATGGTAGATTTGCTCTCCCCATCGCTCTTTGTGGTAGAAATCAATGGGGTGGGTGTAGTCTGGTAGAGGAAAGCTACTTGGTAGTCCAATACAAAGAGATTCCGGTCTCAAACAAGTTGTGATTTATTACATGTTAACAACAAGGTACAAGTTTTTCTCAACATTGTTACCAAGAATATCAAGGTGATATATTTCCAAATCAGGATGGAGAGTGGCTTGAAGAAAAGCCTTCAGACGGTTGTGATTTCATATATCTGCTGTCTTTTCCGTCTAGATGATAATGGTCATGGGTTTAGAAGCATCCCTCTATGGAGCCTTAACAAAAACAAAGTTGCTGGAAAATCTCAGCAGGTCTGGCAGCATCTGTGAAGGAAAAAACAGAATTAACATTTCGGGTCCGGTGAACCTTCCTCAGAACTGATGGTGGCTGGGAAAATGTCAGTTTATATGCAGAAAATAGGGAGGTGGGTGGGGTAGGGACTAAACGATAGGATAGAGCTTAAAGAGAGAGAAAGACAGTTGGACAAACACAGAAGTTGCTAAAGATCAGGCTGGGATTGTGAGTAGTTGTTAATGGGGACTGTTAGTGACTAACAACAGGGGGTGTGTAATGGCAGGCTATGTGGTAACAAGGCCTGGTGTGTGGGGTAGAGGGCTGGGACACAGGAGAGTTTAGGCCCTAAAATTATTGAACTCAACATTGAGTCTGGAGGGCTGTACGGTCCCCAAGCAGAAAATGAGGTGTTGTTCCTCCAGCTTGCGTTGGGCTTCACTGGAACACTGCAGCAAGCCAGAGACAGATGTTGGCCAGGGAGCAGGGTGGTGTGTTGAAGTGGCAGGCAACAGGTAGTTCAGGTTCTTTTTTGCGAGCAGAACATAGATGTTCTGCGAAGCAGTTGCCGAGTCTACACTTCGTTTCCCCAATATAGAGGAGACCACATTGTGAGCAGCGAATGCAGTAGACCAGATTCTGGGAAGTGCAGGTGAAGTGTTGCTTGGGTCCTTGGATAGTGGGGAAGGAGGAGGTAAATGGGCAGGTGTTGCACCTTTGCCGGTCACAGGGGAAGGTGCCGTAGGGCTGTGGGGATATGTTGGAGGTGAAGGAGGTGTGGACCAGGTGTCCCAGAGGGAACGGTCCCTGCAGAAGGCGGACAAAGGAGGGGAGGGGAATATGTGTCTGGTGATGGTATCTTGCTGGAGGTGGTGGAAATGGCGTATGATGATCTTCTGGATGTGGAAGCTGGTGGGATGGTAGGTGAAGATAAGGGGAACCCTATCGTTGTTGCGGGAGGGAAGAGAAGGGGTGAGGGCAGAAGTGCGGGAGATGCGTCGGACCTGGTTGAGGGCCTTGTCAACAACGGAGGTGGGCAATCCTCGGTTCAGGGAGAAGTTGGACATTTTGGAGGCTCCCTTGTCAAAGTTGGCCTCATCTGAACATGTGCGATGGAGACGGAGGAATTGAGGGAATGGGATGGAGTCTTTACAGGAAGTGGGGTGTGAGGATGTACAGTCCAGATAGCTGTGGGAGTCAGTGGGTTTGTAATGGATATTTGTGGCCAGTCTGTCCCCAGAAATGGAAACAGAAATGTCGAGGAAGGGAAGGGAGGAGTCAGAGATAGACCAGGTGAACATGATGGCAGGGTGGAAATTGGAGGCGAAATTGATCAAGTTCTCCAATTCCACATGAGAGAAGGAAGCTGCACCGACGATATCATCGATGTATCGGAGGAAGAGTTGTGGGTGGGGGCCAGAATAAGACTTTGATAAGGAATGTTCCACGTACCCCATGAAGAGACAGGCATAACTAGGGCCCATGCGGGTACCCATGGCAACCCCTCTTACCTGAAGAAAATGAGAGGAGTTGAAAGAGAAGTTGTTGAGGGTGAGGACAAGCTCAGTCAAGCGGAGGAGGGTGGTGGTGGGGGGAGATGGTTCAGGTCTTTGCTCCAGGAAGAAGCGGAGAGCCCTAAGACCCTCCTGGTGGGGAATGGACGTGTAAAGGGATTGCACATCCATGGTAAAGAGGAGGCAGCTGGAGTCAGTAAACTGGAAGTTTTGAAACCAGCTTAAGGCGTCAGAGGAGGTCCACACCTCCTTCACTCCCAACACATCCCTACAGACATACGGCACCTTCCCCTGTAACCGGCGAATTTACCTCCTCCCTCCTCCCTCCCCAGTATCCAAGGGCCCAAACATACCTTCCAGGTGAAGCAACACTTCACCTGCACTTCCCAGAATCTGGTCTACTGCATTCGCTGCTCACAATGTGGTCTCCTCTACATTGGAGAAACGAAGCGTAGACTTGGCGACCGCTTTGCAGAACATCTACGTTCTGCTCGCAAAAAAGAACCTGAACTACCTGTTGCCTGCCACTTCAACACACCACCCTGCTTCCTGGCCAACATCTCTGTCTCTGGCTTGCTGCAGTGTTCCAGTGAAGCCCAACGCAAGCTGGAGGAACAACACCTCATTTTCCGCCTGGGGACCGTACAGCCCTCCAGACTCAATATTGAGTTCAATAATTTAAGGGCCTAAACTCTCCCGTGTCCCATCCCTCTACCCCACACACCAGGCCTTGTTACCACATAGCCTGCCATTACACACCCCCTGTTGTTAGTCACTAACAGTCCCCAGCCTGATTGTTAGCAACTTCTGTGTCTGTCCAACTGTCTTTCTCTCTCTTTGGGCTTTATCCTATCGTTTAGTCCCTACCCCAGCTACCTCCCTATTTTCTGCATATAAACAGACGTTTTCCCAGCCACTATCAGTTCTGAGGAAGGGTCACTGGACCCGAAATGTTAACTCTGTTTTTTCCTTCACAGATGCTGCCAGACCTGCTGAGCTTTTGCAGCAACTTTGTTTTTGTTCCTGATTTACAGCATCTGCAGTTCTTTCATTCTCTATGGAGTCTTGGCGAAATTTGTACAATGCATCATGTAAATAGTACACAGGGGCAGTACTGAACATTGGTAGTGGAGGGCATGTATGTTTGTGAATGTGATGCCCGGCAAGTGAACTGCTTTGTTCTAGATGGTGTGAAGCTTCTTGAGTGTCAGAATCCCTACAGTGTGGAAGCAGGCCAATCTGGCCATTGAGTCTACACTGACTCTCTGAAGACCATCCCACCCAGACCCAGCCCGCTACCCTATCCCTGTAACCCTGCATTCCCCATGGCTAATCCAACTAGCCTGCACATCCCTGGACACTCTGGGAAATTTAGCATGATCAATCCACCTAACCTACGCATCTCTGGAATGTGGGAGGAAACTCATACAGACATGAGGAGAATATGTAAACTTCACACAATCAGTGCCTGAGTGTGGAATCCCTGGAGCTGTGAGGCAGCAGTGCTTACCACTGAGCCACTGTGCTGCCTTATTGAAGTTGCATTCATCTAGGTTAGCGGGGAATATTCCATCACATGCCTGATTTATACCTTATAAATCATAGCCAGGCTTTGGTGGAGTCATGAGGTGAATTACTCGCTGCGGATTTCCCAGTCTTTGACCTGTTTTTGTAGTCACAGTATATGTCTAGTCCAGTTCAGTTTCTGGTCAATGCTAATCTCCAAGATGTTGATTGTAGGGGATCTAGTGATGGTAATGCCATTGAACCTCAAAGACAATAGTTAGATTGTCTCTTGTTGGAGATGGTCATTGCCTGGCACTTACGTGGTGTGAAAATTCTTGCCATTGTGTGTCCAAACCTGCATATTGTCCAGGTTTTGCTGTATTTGTACATGGAGTGCTTCAGTATTGGAGGAGTCATGAATAGTGCTGAACATTGAGTAGTCTTCAGCGAACATCCCCACTTCTGACCTTATGACGTAGGGAAGGTCATTTATGAAGTAGCCGAAAATGTTTGGGCCTAGGACACTACCCCACTGAGGAACTCCTGCAGAGATAGCCTGGAGTTGACAGAACTGACCTTCAACAACACATCCATCTTCTTCTGTGCTGATTAAAGTATAGAATTAGAATTAAAATTGCCACTTTGTTAAAATTGTGCTGAAAACAGATTTACAGACATTAGCGTTATATTTTAAATGTCAGAAGAAGTTTACATTTATCGTTCTTTGTCAGTTAATTACCAAGGAAGTTATTGCATTGCACTCCATCTAAATTCATGACTAACTGATGACTTTTGATTAGAAATTAAGAAGTCACCAGGGTCACTATGGATCAATGATTTGTCCAATCTTTAATAACAAATAACACTGCTGATGACATAGAAGTTGGGTGTTTTGAAATGAGTAATGCACATTATGCATTATAAATAGTCACTGATATATTTCAAATGTAGGAATGTGTGCGTATATTACAACATTCATAATTAGACAGCTCACATAATTGTTTTTAGCACCAGGTATTCAAAAACTGATTACCAACACAGTTTTGAGAGTAAAAACCAAAAGAACTGCGGATGCTGTAAATCAGGAACAAAAACAAAGTTGCTGGAAAAGCTCGGCAGGTCTGGCAGCATCTGTGAAGGAGGAAACAGAGTTAACGTTTTGGGTCCGGTGACCCTTCCTCAGAACAGAGAGTTTTGAGTGTTTTTTTTTGAAAATTATTTGACCCTTTGTTTGTCTGCATTCACCCCTACTGAAGGCCATAGGATCTCAGTATTAGCAAGCGCAATGCAACACTGAAACCTATTCTCCACTGTAATTTTCCTTCTTGTGCCATGGAAATGATTGTAAACATGGAAGACTTCAGAATGGGTGTTAGGGGAATTGAAAGTTGCCATTTTATTGCTTTTAGTCTGAATGTACTGCAGTCAGATTTAGTGCAATAACCTCTAGGTATATTTGTATAATAACAACGTATGGATGATACAGATGGCAGCCCCAGCTGATTGGTGAATTTATCAAGTACCATAAAGACCAAGGAAGTACCAAACTGTGAAATTCTGTCAAAGTTGCAGTAAAAGTACCAAAGTTGACTGAACCACACAACTCATTTAAGCACTACTGTTCATTTTAAGGCTACATTCAAAAGTGGACCATAATTTGAAGTGACTGTGTTTCCAACATGCTGTCCCTTTGCAAAGTGGAATTGTGCATTATTGACAGTTCCACATGCTTTTGATACAAATGTCCAATTGATTTAATGGAAAGCGTTACTGCAGGGATTTAAATGTGTTGAAATATCAGGTAGAGAATTGGACCAAAGTGAGATGTTGGAGCGAACAAGGAGAATCCTAACTACAGAGGAAGTGTTAGTTGAGGGAGATTGATAGGAGAAAAGTTTTAAAAAATGAGTCTTTCAAGAATTTAAGTGGATTTCAATACCAAATTATTCAAATTGTGACAGTGAAATGAAAATGCAGGCATATCTGCTATAATGCGTGTTTTGCTGAAGCAAATTGGCTGTAATGCTGGTTGGATAATGTGAACTTTCTGCTGTACGGGTGTAGCAATTTTCTATAGTGATTTCCCTATAACGTGATTTCTATGGTGATTTTCTATAGCACGAGGTCACACAAGAAGGCAACTATCGCGTTATAAAAGAAATACTTGTACATTCTAAAAAAAAATCTCTGAAAACGTGTAAAATTATATTGACCCAGAATCTGCTGTAGCAGGACATCAAGTGTAGTAGTGATCTGTCTAAGGTCCTCTGTTCAATTCTCCTGACCTCACAGTGTTGAAATTTCCTGTTTAGTTGCTTTCCCACTATTTTACAAAGCAAATAGTGGGGAATGGTACAACATGAGAGCAATTTTAGAATATTTGCATTGAACTTGACTGGCAATCACCATTAGCCTTACCATTGTTTTGACAGAAAATACGAGTCAATGTTTCCCGATCCTTGGGGTACTGATAAATGACTCTGCAACAAAACATAGCCAACAGAAGGCTCTGACACCTAGCAACTGAAGCTTACATCTACATCATGTCATTCAGAGAAGGTTCACCCCATTGATTCTTTGAATTAAGGTGAAATGTTATGAGGAAAGGTTGGGCCTGTATCTATTGGATTATAAAAGAATGAGCGGTGATTATATTGAAACAATATGAAAGTGTTAAATGTAAGAGGGTTAAATTAAGTTAAAAGTGATTTTGTTAAAATAGGAAATAAGCAGAAGTGAGTGGAACAGAAGATTAGCAGGTGTACTCTAGACAGAATGGCAAAGTACCAGGCCAAGGATTGGTTGATAGAAACAAGAACACAGCCCAGGCTGCCCAGTCAGCAGGATAAGGGGAGGCCTTGAATAAACCTGATTTATGTAAAGTGGGAAATAGGAGCCATCTGATTAACATATGGTTATAAATTGATCAGGTTAGAAATACAGCATGTGACCTAAGGTGTATAAGAGATGCAAACTTATGGATTTTTTCCAGTGTTCAGTCTTAGAATGTTTGACCGACTCTGCTTACCTGTGCTTGACTCTCCAGGTGGTTTGTCAAGTCAAATGAATTTGAACGAATTTGACAGGATAGATGTTGAGATGATGCTTCTCCTTATTGGAGAGACTAGAACTAGAGAACACAGTTTTAAAAATTAAGGCGTCTCTCATCTAAGTCAGAGTTGAATAGCATTCTTTTCTTCCTCAGAAAACAATGGTGGCAGGTTTATTGTATATTTTTGAGGCTGAGTGAGATAGGTACTTGATTGAAAAGCAAATTAAAGTTTGTATGGTTGACCGTAAAGTAAGCTAAGGTGACGTTCAGATCAGCCATCGTCTGATCAAATTGCAAAGTTGGCTCGAGGGCCTAAATATTCTATTCCTGATCCTAACTTGTATGTTCATATGACTTAAGTCTCACATTGACACACTCTCAGTATATGAAATTATCAGCATCAGAAGTGACAAGAGTTCATGTTCTTGGTTTTATATGGGCAATAGAACTAATAAACAATGATATGACAATCACTTTGGGTGTATCTTATGTCGAGTAAGGATTGTTGAATAAGTAATTTTATGTAATATGAAGTAGTAATTTAAATTCTGATGCAATATGAAGCAAAAAGCTTGACTAAGGCAAAATCTGCACAGTTAGCAAAATTGGAGCCTGACTTTACTGATTCAGAGCAAACATGTCACAACTTGATATGGTGTTAATGATGAGGGGACAGTAAAGTTCCTGCTACAATGACTCTGAGGCTTAAGGGGTTACATGAAGCTGGTGAGGATTTTTTGATTGATATCTCTTGAGTACAACTGACCAGAGGAACTCCATGTATTATGAACAGTACTGAAGCAGTTGAGACTCAGCACACAAGTCGTCCCCTGGAGAATGTGAAGTCTGGGTTAATCTGTGAGGGTTAGCAGACAGAGACAATCAGCATCAAAGCTATGGGAATAGTTTTAAGGCAGTCTCTTCATCCAATACTGCAGATAAAAACCAGCCAAAAAACCAGAACTGGAATTATTCCAAAGGATAATGTTTTCTCAAGCATATTGCAAGGATTTACAACTGATGTCTTTTAACTTGCTGGATATAGGGTGAAGTGTACATAGCATTGAAACATTTTTATTCATTCTAGCTGATTAGAATATTTGACTGAAATGGATAAATCTAGGATTGTATCAAAATGCAACTATAACCTATATCCAATATTATCAAATCTTTTCAAGGAGAAGCCACAAAAGTAGTGAACCTAAGGCTCATCAGGTATACATCAAAGAAATGGTAAGAACTGACAATACTAAATAACTATTGTATTTCCCATGTTGATCTCTCATTCCTGTCCTCCTCAATCTTTCCCCCTTGTTCACTCCCTTGTAATATCTCATTGCCTCCCATAATTGCTTTCCCATCACTATTTATCTCTAAATATTTCCCATCTTTGCTATATAATACTGGAGGTGTCAACAATATTAGAAACATGCAGGTAAAAAACAGTTCAGGAAAACAAAGGACAAGGAATAGGTGAGATCATATTTAAATGCAAAACCCCTTTAATAAACAAATATGTGTTCAATTAGATTATTGCTTTTAATGAACTGGGACATCAATCTTGAACATAAATTATTCTATATCTCTGTGGAATGGCACTTCTATTTTTAAATATGCACCTGAAGGAACAAATTATACACACGAGGGATAGAACCTGGTAAAATGAAAGTTTGATCTAATCTTCTCCGACTTGTTCACTCGACACTGTGCAGTGCTAATTTGCTTTAAATGCATTGGGATCTTGCAAATCTCTCTGGTGTTTTATCAAAGCATCAGAAATACATTTGTACAACAGGAAGAAAATATAGTCTGGACAACCAATTTAAGAGACAAGTACAGGAGCACAAAAGCAATAGATGGCTTTTTCAAACTGAATTTTTATCAGATCTTGCCTCGTCTCTTAAATTTAACTAAGTCGCGTTTGGAAAATGGTTACTAAACCTTCAATTCTGCAGGATCTTGTTGTGTGCTGAATATCCATGTTTGCGAATAAGGTTCCTTGCTGCTTGTTCTTAAGCCAGCCTCAGTACTCCCTTAATTACTTCAGAGCTGAGTGTGCAGATCCAATAGCACCTTCATGCTAGATATGGTGGGTAATCTGAAGACACTCTGAAGCTCTCCTTGAAGCAGAATAATATTGACCCTGCATTGGCCACAACTTGTCCATCAAACTGCATCATACTTCAAGTGCACATGCCTTAACGTGGGACAGGGTGAAAGCAGAGAGGGAATGAAAGGAAGCAACTCCTGCATCTGGATTTCACTACCTCATGCGATGTCCCATCCCTTGTACCCAGACATCTGAGAGTCAGAAATCAATTTGCTCAATCACATGACAACCTGTGGCTGAGATTTATAATCCAGAGTTGACACCATCCTTAAATCGAGGGATAGACGCTGAAGATGGCACACTAAAGCTAAAGTTGTGACCATTTCGAACTCTACTGCTTTACCACATCATAAGCAAAAGCAGTCTGCTTGTTTTATTGTGGAAGTCATACCCTTCATTTATTCTTATAATTAGGGCTTGGATTAAGATTGCAGAGGATGCTCATAAATTCTCACTTCCCCAGAGAAAAGCTGCATCGACATTGGGATATTGATTAGCCACCCTTGCACATGTATCATTGCGATGGGAACGTATTCACACATCCAGTAACATAGGGCTCTGCAATAAATAAAGCATTCAGCTGCAACAGTTCCAGAATAGCTCAGAGCTAACTAATTCACATAACATTCCCTTTTGCACTGTTTTATTACTGCAGGTAACCCATTAAAAATGAGTTAATGATTGCATAAAAATCTTATATAAAGAAATCTTACATAAATATCTCAGCCAATTGGCAACAATGTAAACCATTCAGTGCAAAATGAATGCAAGCAACTCAGAGAACAAAATCCTGCTTCTATTAAAGCTGTTGTAAGTTTATTGGAAATTTTCCTTTAAATAAATTTCCCTGTTGAAAATTCAGTCTTTGACTATTCATTATTTTACATGTCACATTCCTGAATGTTTTACATTGGAGTAGCCCAGATGAACTCCATATTATGGATCCAAAGGTGCAGAATTGGCATTGTGTCTTGAGCACATACATGAGGGTAAAATTAGCCTGGGTCTGTTTTCAAGAGTTAGTCAGAATGTGCCTGTGTTTTTGCCAAGATCATTTCTGTGGGCCAATGCAAAAAATACCCTGTTGTTGGCTGACAGATATCTGTACCCTGAAGCTTTGAACTGAGTGATAAAATTAGGCTAGCACTCAACCATCTTAGTCCAAATCTGCACTCTATTTTCCATTACTCTGCCTGCTGCCAATTTAATTGGGTTTTCAGAAAGATGCCGTTGTTATCTAATACAAATCAGGATCCTATATACATACATAAAACACTTTTCATGACTAGCTCACATCTGAGAATATTTTGTACCCACTATTTGAAGTGTAGTCACACGTGTGTTGTAGGAACTGTGGCAGCTGAATTGCACATAGCAAGCTCCCATAATCAGTAATATGGCAATGATCAGAAATGCTTTTTCTGTCTATAATCTGTTGTTGATTGAGGGATACATATTGGCCAGGACAAATCACAGAAGGAATTCTGGACTATCAACCCTCTGCTGCCTCATGATGGAACAATTAATACAGTTAATTAGTGGGGTTAATTCATTTCCACATAGCCCTGCTTCTCCATTTCCAATAATAGTCTAATTTTCTCTTCAATACTTCAATTGAACTTGTCTCCATCATATTCCCAGGCAGCACTTTTACATCTCAAATCTTGCTGGGTCAATAGGCATTGCTTCCTTTGCCAGTGAGCCGAAACCTATGCCTTCTTGTTCAAAGATATGTTGCAAAGTTGGGTAGAGTATTTGTGGATTGGGAGGCAGATCATTAGAATTTGGTGTTTATAAAATATTGGTGTTTGTAAAATGCTGGGAAGGGACAGGGGAAGCATTGCATGGTCCCTTTAAAAGATTGAGCTTTTTCTATGATTGGAGTTGTCTGTGAGCAGCTTGAAAGTTTGCAAGTACAGAGAGCTCCCAAATTGAAAAATTTGTATCAAAAGACTGTACTATTAGCAAGCCAAGCAGCATTTTCACCAAGACAACAGGTTTTTGAATTTAGCCAGTCAATTTGAACCAGGCATTTAGATAAATTTGCACCTGATGGTTTTATAACTTAGGACCAATCCAATTGTAAGAAATTGATATGTCATCACGGGCATAAAAGAAGGGAGCAGTTGGAAAATTGGGTGAGCTAACTGCTACCTGCTAAAGATAAGCCCTCAGCTCTTAGAGAAAGCATCATCTATTCACAATGGTACCACAGCACTCCTAGCTAAGATTCCTGACAGAAGAATTGACAGAAAAAGCGTTCCTGACAGAAGAATCAATGGAGAAGACACAGCACATTCGAGAAGATGTAGCCTGGCTGTAATTTTGAGAGACTAAATTCTGTTGTTTTATATAAGTGGGATGTCTATTTATTGGAACAGCATAACATTAGAATCTTGCGTTATTCTGGAATAATTAGCAATTAGAAGGGGTTTGGTTTGTTAATAGTTCAATCAATTTGTTCACTGTTAGAGTTAGATAAATAAATTGTTACTTGTCAATTGTAAAATGAGTGTCAGGGATTTATTTGATTTAACCACTAGAAGTTGCTGAAAGACAGGTTTTCACACTTGTTTTAACGGATTGTAGCACAAGGTGCTTCTCTTGGGAGTTTCGGGTTTGGTTCTCAGAGGGGTGTCAACTTCCACTTTATAACAGATAGGAACAGTTTTTCTCTATCTCCTTCATCTTGATCCCTCATTATTTTATATCCCTCCACCAAATTTCCTTTCCTTCAAAGAAAAATGTCTCACCTGCTAAATCTATTAACATAACTGAAGTTCCTCATCCTTACAACCATTTTTATGATTTTTTTTCTGTATCCTCTCTAATGATTTTCACATCCTTCCTAACATACATTCAAACTACAGAAGGGAGATAGAGGGCTTGGTGATGTGGTGCAATGAAAACAAACTGTCTCTCAACATCGACAAAACTAAAGGACTGATCATCGACTTCAGAAAGAAAGGAGGTCAACATGCCCCCAATTACATCAATGGGACTGAGGTTGAGAGGGTGAAAAGCATCAAGTTCCTCAGAGTGATGGTAACCGATGAACTGTCCTGGACTTCCTACATAGATGCGTCAGTCAAGGCAGCACAACAACGCCTCTTCTTCCTCCGGTGGATCAGGAAATTTGGCATGTCCATAAGGTCCCTCACCAAATTCTACAGATGCACCACTGAAAGCATATTGTCCGGGTGCATAATGGCCTGGTATGGCAACTGCTTTGGCCAGGACCGTAAGAAGCTACAGAAGGTGGTGTGCACAGCCCAGACCATCACAGAAGCCAACCTTCCATCCATGGACTCTATTTACAGGCTTGCTGCTGCAGAAAGGCAGCCAACATCATCAAAGCTCCATCCCACCCTGGTAACGATCTCCTACAGCCTCTTCATCAGGCAGAAGATACGGAAGCCTGAACACAAACACAATCAGGTTCAGGAACAGCTTATTTCTGGCCGTTATCAGAATGTTGAATGGACTCTAGCCCCAAATAATGTAACCTGCAATGTAACCTATACGCCTCTAAGTCTTTTTGATCTGTACATCCTTTGCTTGCTGTGATCTGCCTGTACTGCTTGTAAACGAAGCTTTTCACTGTATTTCAGCACATGTGACAATAAAAATCAATTTTAAAAAATTAATCAATCATCAATCACACGTAACACTCAAAACTGGACATAAGACTCCAAGTGTGGGCAACTAGTGCGCTATAGAGGTTTAATATAATCTCCTTGTTTTTGTACTCTATGTCCCTGTTGATAAAACCTACATTGCTGTATGCTTTATTAGCCATTCTCTTAACCTTACAATACACTCTTCAATGATCTATGCAATGATCCATTGTACCTCTTCAGAATTGAACCCTTGGGATGCAACCATCTCTCCCTGTTTTTCCTAACAAAATGAATTGCTTTACAGGTCTCTGCATTTGCTATGTCTCTGCTTATTTCACCAATCTGCCTATGATCTTTTGAAGTTCTGCACTATCCTTTTCACTGTTGACAATGCTTCCAAGTTTTGTATTATTTTGAAATTATACCTTGTACACAAGTGGTACAGTTTATTAATGACTATCAGGAACAGCAAGGGCTGTGACATCAACCCCTGACGAACTCCACAGTAAATTTTTCTGCAGTCTGTAGAACATCTAATAACTGTTACTCTCTGTTTCCTGCCAATTAGCCAGTTTGGTACTCATGTTGTTACTATCCCTTTTATTCTATGAGGTATAACTGTGTAATGCGACACTTTATCAAATGTCTTTTTGAAATCCATGTACACCAAATCAATATCATTACTCCTGTCAAATCTCTCCGTCTGCTTCCTTGATGTACTACAGGACAGGTTACATGCTGTGTGTACTCATACCAGATCTTACCTGCATTCCACAAAGGCACCACTAGAAGCTAAATAAAAACCAAAAGAACTGTGGATGCCGTAAATCAGGAACAAAAACAGAAGTTGCTGGAAGCTCAGCAGGTCTGGCAGCATCTGTGAAGAAAAAATCAGAGTTAGCGTTTCGGGTCCAGTGACCCTTCGTCAGAACAAGATGCTGCTGTAAACAAGAGGCAGGTAATGGCATTTGAAACGTGGGCTATGGTGTGATTTGTCAGAGAATCAGATGAGAAGTCTGGCGAAGCCCATCTCGACATCAGGAGCTCCATCTTTTTGCTTTTGACAAGCATCATGATGAGTTTCTCGATAGGAACTGGGAAGTTGCCAGTTAAGGGGGATTATTGATCATTAAATGCCAAGTTAAAGGCCCAACTCACCTAATTAATATTCAGTTTTCTATCTTACCAAATGCAGCAAACAAGCTCGATGCCAAGGAGAGATGAAATGAAAATCAGAGGAGATACCTGGTGAATTCAGCTCGTTGCTTGCTCTGAAGGACCTCCACGTTGCATACGACTGAACTCTACTCAGGGGCGATCCAATGGCCACACACCCCTCATCCACAGACTCTGGTGTCTGACATTTGCCAACCCTTCATTAACTTCCATGGCATCTAACTGCCTAGGGTCAGAGGAAGGCAGACAGGGTGGAGCTCGAGGGCCCAGTCACCTTTGGAGTGTCCTGAGTGGAGAAATCTGAGAGGGTTGTGTGTGATTTCTCCTCAGGATGACTGCCTCTTGGCACAGAGCTGTTTCATTGTGAAAAAGGGGCAGGTGCGGTGCTCCCCAGGTTCCACAGCTCCCTATCATCAAGCCTTCATCATGATGACCAATAGCTAGAGCGATGGAATAAAGGTGTGTGCACCTCTCCCACAGACTCAGAAGGCATCACAGCCAGTGGTTAGAAATGGTGTGCAATGGATGACATTGATAGCGAGGTTATTGTGAGAGTTACAGTGGAATGAGTCACGGGGCCTACACTGTTTGGTGAGACATAGAAGTCTCAGCATCCCCACAGGAGCAATCATAGTCTTCTCCTGTGAGGGCCATGATTCTATCCTTGAATGGGGTGAGGAACCTAATATTCAAACCTGCTCTCTCTGGGCTATTTTCTGTAGTAATGAGAGAAAGGGAGGGATTGAGAGAGATGAAAGTGGGTGGCATGGCTATTTGTCTTGGTGCAGGTTGGCGAAAGGTGGTGGGGTGTTCCAAGAGAGTGAGGAGGCAGCGCAGAGAGCATGAATGGTAAGAAGTGAGGGATATTGCAGGTGGGGGAGTGGGAGTGAGGGAAGATGTTGCAAGCAAAAGTGAGATCGGGAGAGCATGAGCCTTGTTTGGAGGTGGATGCAGTAGCAGAGAACCAGTGAGTGTAAGATAACAGAGAGAAGATTGTAACATTTACCATGGAACAGCGGGAAAGGTCATTGTTCTTCTTGAGGCACTGCTGGCCATTCCTCTGCACCATGGAGCCAGCACTGACTTGGGTGGTGATCTCGAACCAAGCTGCCAGGGTCTTGTGGTGTATACTTTGTGAAATAAAAAGACATATTGAATGAAGAGGAGCAAACATAGAACATAAATTCATCCTCAGTATTCAGATAACGAATGAAGGAATTTCTCAGGGTAACGACAGTATCTAATATTTGGTGATAATTTCATGGCAATCAAAACACCCATTCATTATTCTCTCCGTTTAATTTCTTTTGAATTTAGTATTCTGTGTATTAATGTATAAAGAGATTGTTAATAATTTACACATATTTCCATCTGTTTTTAATAGTTAGTCAGTTTAGAGGAAGCTCCACTGTGGGGCCCCATTGTAAATGTTGACATTGGAATCTGCATTTATTTCTATATTCCTCAAGTTTTCCTGAACATTTACAACTCACATTATGAATTCTTTGCCACTCTGGAGTTGAGGCAATGTGCTTAATTGTGATCTATCTAACTGACTACAGTTTGTGTTAGATAATAATTTAGCAGTCAAATTACTAAAAATAGAGTTTGTGAAATTAATTTATAGGTAAAGAAATAATATGAAACAATGATGTCATTAATTGGTTCAGATAGTGTCAGAAATTGGAAGAGTAAAGATTGAGCATTCAATTTATAATTACTTACAGTCAGCTTAACCACTGTGTAGCACTGATATGATGGATTGAGCTTGTTTCTGCCATTCTGCTGGCTAAAGGAAGAAAGCAAAAATGAAACAGAACAAAATTTATTGAAGTCAGCTGGATAAATGCAGTCAACTGTATTCACTTAAAATACGTGCAATATTTAATGCTTGAAGGTTAGCAAGAAATCTAGTATGCATCCAATCTGGTAGATCACACCTGAAATGCCCTGGGCTAAAATACTTCAACGGGGAAGAAAAATTTTATTCATCTGAGAAGCCTGTGGCCATTGTAAATGACTGCTTCTATACCTTTTTGCTGCTGTGCTAAGGCAGTAGCCAGAGGAGTTGCAACGCTAACTATTTTTTAGCAGACATAAAAATAAGGTGATAAATTCTTTTAGGCTCCACCCTGGTCTCGTGTCTGACAGTCTTGAAATCATCTCGTCTGAGGGTGGGACTCAATTTGTGAACTTGGGCCAGTGCCATGCAAAGACTCAGAAACCTGAAGCAGAAAGTTTTAAAACATCATTCTTGCCTTTTTATTTAGGGCCTTTGACCATCAGAACAGATAGCTCAGGAGTAGTTGTAGACCATTAAGCCTTTTGTGCTTGCTCTGTCCTTCAATAATGTCGTGGCTGATTTGGGTGTGGTGTCACCTCCACTTTTTCCATCTGCCCCCCCATAGCCGTACTTGACTCCCTTGACAGTCAAAAGTCTGTCACACTCAGTCTTGAATAAATTCAATAACTTAGTCTGTGCCTTTTTCCAACAAAGAGAATTCCACAGCCTAACAGCCCTCTGAGAAAAAGCATCTTTCCATCGCTTTGTTTTAAAATCATAGAATCCCTTTGGCCCAACAAGTCCACACTGACCCTCAGAACATCCCACCCAGACCCATCTCCCTATAACCCGCATAACATACACACCCCTGAACACTACAGGCAATTTAGCATGGCCAATCCACCTCACCTGTACATCTTTGGACTATGGGAGGAAACCGGAGCACCCAGAGGAAACCCACGCAGACACGGGGAGAATGTGCAAACTCCACACAGACAGTTGCCTGAGGGTGGAATTGAACCCGGGTTCCTGACACTGTGAGGCAGCAGTGCTAACCACTGAGCCACCGTGCAAGATTTTTTTGTAACTGCATAAGGGGAACCTTCGTCTCAGAATCCAGCCTGTCAACTACCCTCACAATCTTATTTCAATAGGTCACCACTCATTCTTATAATGTCCAATGGGTCCAGGTATATCCTTCCCATGAATGAGTCATGTGCACCTTCTCTGAACAGCTTCTTGCACTGTTATATGCTTTTTTAAATAAGGAGGGAAAAATTGTACGCAGCACTTTAGATGTGGACTCACCATGATCCCATATGTCAACAGTAAAACTTCCATACTCTTGTAATTCACTCCCTCTGCAATAGACATCAACATTCCATTTCTCTTCCTAATCACTTCATCAAAGTCTCAAAGCCTGAGGGGAGTAGTCTTCAGTCAAGGGAGACTGCCTTCAGTCAGGGAGTACTGGCACAGTAATTAAGTGCATCATCTGATATCATTTGAGGGGCTTGGACACAGTCAGTTGACTGCTTGGGGCATCCGGGGTCAGGGATCCCACATCTCTACAGTCCAGGGAATGGACCATTGTCAGTCCTGCAGGTCCAGTTCAACCAGTCCAGGCTGTGGTGTTGGACTGGGGTGGACAAGGTCAGAAACCACATGACACCAGGTTACAGTCCAACAGGTTTATTTGAAATCACAAGCTTTCAAGCTTCGATCCTCCTTCAGGTGTTAGTGATGGAGGTAGTATCAGACACAGAATTTATGAGTAAAAGATCAAAGGGTCACACCACTGATGAGGATGTACTTAACTAATCTAAAATGCTGTTAAATCTTTAATCAGTTAGAAGGTTTTAATTGATTAATATGTATATGTAAATCTCTGAATTTCTTTCAAGTCACTGCCCTGAGAGAACTAAACGTTTCATTAGTGTAAAGAAGAGGTGACGTTTTGGGTCCAACAATGTATGTTAGGTGTAAGGCCTTGTTTAGAATCTGTTTGTGTTTTGGTTTGGAGTCAGACTGGTTTTATTTCTAAAGTAGGAATTTATAAAACGCCACATTGACTGACTGTCTATAAATTGTGTGCAGTCTAGGGGTTAGTGCTCAATCAGTTAAGGAACTGCACAGAGGTCGATCAGAGATTAATGTGCTACCAGACCTGCTGAGTTTCTTGAGCATTTTCTATTTTATTTCAGATTTCCACCATTCACAGTATTTTACTTTTATTTAGGTGGGAAAGTGTTTTTGAGAAGGATGCAAAGAGGCTTTGAGGGGTTTGGAGAGTTTAAGTGAGTGGGTAAATATTTAGCAAATGGAATACAATATGGAGAAATATGAGGATATCTATTTCGGTAGGAAAAGTTGAATTTTCATTTTAAGAAATAGAGTAATCTGTAAATGGTGAGACACTGGGAAGTGTTGAACTCCAAAAGGATTTAGGTGTCCTTGTTCATGAGCCACTGGAAGTTAACACTTAAGTGTAGCAAATAATTAAGAAGAAAATGGTATGTGGGCTTTACTTCATGAGGATTTACATATAAAGAAGGGTTGTCTTAGTAAAAAAGTAAAGTCTGGGTGAAATTACACTTAGAGTATTGCATACAATTTGTGTCTCCTTATCCATAGAAAAATATACTTGCCTCAGGCAGTAGGTGACTAGGTTTACCGAACTAATTCCTGGGATGGAGGGATTGTTCTATAAGGAAAAATTAAATGGATTGGGCCTTTATTCTCTGAAGTCAAGAAGAATCAGAAGTAATCTCATTCAAAAATACAAAATTCTTACCAGGATCTAGTGGATAGATGCAGGAAGAATACTTCCCCTGGCTGGACTGTCTCAAACCAGGGACAGAGTTCAGAATGAGGGGCAAAACATTTAGGATCGAAATAAGGAGAAGTTTCTTTTCTCAGTGGATGGGGAATCTTTGGAACTTGTTGTCCCAGACGGGGTTAAGTGTTTCCAAGTGTGAGATCCATACACTTCTACATATGAGAAACATCACAGCCTCATAGACATTTACAGCACAGAAAGAGGCCTTTTGGCTTGTCATGTCTGTGCTGATCAACAAAGATCTGACTACACTAATCCCATTTTCCAGCTCTTGGCTCATAGCACTGAAGACTAAGGAAATCCAAATGAGCAAGAGACATGGAGATAGTGCACGAAAATCATGATGAAGCAGAAGTTCAGGCATGATCTCATTGAATGGTGCAGTGGGCTCAAAGGGATGAATGGCTTGCTCCTATTTCTATTGTTTTTATGTTACGAATATTCCTATGTTGAATAACCATGAACCAGAATTGCCCAGAATTGTACAGTGTGAAGGAAAAAATGAAAAAATATTCAAAAGAGATGGCTGTAACACTTTCTTTTTCTCAATGTATTATTGTTTTATGTGTGACCTAACTGGTTTAATGGTGGGAGTTAGACAGATAATTAGTGAGAGGTACTTTGCCACTGTTATATTGGCTAAAGGCTGCATGTAGCTGACACAATTGTACCGATGAAAATTATAGATACATTAGACACAGAAGCAAGAACTTAGTGGCACTGAAAGGAAAATTACTTGATGAATTAATCACAGAATGTGAACAGGGAATTGTTTGTTCTAAGGTGCCGGTTTGCTGGAAGGTAAGAAGAATGCAAATCCTAGCCGAGACCTGCAAAACATTTGCAGCGATTGAGTATCATTGTTGCATGCCATTCTGTCGTTCCCAATACCCTTCTAGGTAATATCCATTCCTTTTATCCCTCTGGTATCATCCCTATTCTATTTTCTCCCTTCTTCCCATAACATCCCTATCCCTCATTCCATACCTACCATTCATCGCTTCCTATCTATAATGCGTAGGCTCTCCTTGCCAGGCTATTGATATGGATTTGCTTCTCATAGGGAGGGCCCCTTCTACCCTCTTCACTCCATCCAGGTAAGTTACAATGCTACTTAGCTGCCATTGCTTGTAGTCCCACCATATACACTTCTTCTCTCCCTGGTGGCCTACAGCTGGTGCCCAGTGCACATGCTTAAAGAAAACAAAAGAGGCAAAGGCAGTATCAAAAGGGGACTCCCAGCGATCTCCCACATAGCTGCCTAGAAATACTGGATGAAAGGTTTCCTGAGGAGAGGTTGCATAGGAAGCAGGAAAAAAACAGTACAAAAAGAGACAATTCTGTAAAATTCGGAGCAGACAGGGAGTCAGCAATCTCCTCTGACCGTATACCATGGGCCTTACCCTTCTGCTATTTTCCCTCTTGTAGTTAGCAAAGTCTTGCCTTAAAGAATGTTTTGTGCAAGTTTGTTATGTTTCTTACCCCACTAAGGGAAAACTTCCTTTCCATTACTCACCTCCATCCCATTTAAAATGGCAACAATAACTGAACCCAAGCACTGCCCACCAAATAAGCCCAACAGATGCATTACTTATTCTAACATTTTATTAATGCATCGAGTGTTCTGAATGTAATAACTTTTTGATCCATTCAAAAGCACCTGCAATAAAGGGGGAAGGTCTTAATCTAACAGAAACAACACTTGAACTGACCAACCTAAACAGTTCCAGACTAAAAAAAAGTTTGTATTATTATCACAGATAATATACTACCTTTAAGGCTTTCCTTCAGCACACATCCAATTGGTTCTCAAAGGTCTGCAGGATTTAATGCCTCAGCCAGTCTACCTGGAGTCAATTTCAAATGTTCACCAATGTACAGAAAGAAAAATTTCCTGATCTCTTCGCTTTTAGGTAATTTTAACCAGTGGTCCCTTCTCCTTCTTCTCTGATTTAATTTCAACCAATGCTTTAAATTTACGTCTCCCAGGCTGTTTAGTAACTTACACCACTCTCTAAGATCAGCTTTATTCCTGTTTCTGCAAAGCTTATGTTTCTCCATGTTTTCCTGAATCAAACCTGGAGTGAGGGGGTTATCTCACAGCTCTTCTCTACGCTGTGACCCACATTGGAAAGTGAGCTGATTCTTTAGCCCTGCTGCACTCAGG